AGTCCAGGTTTCCTTACCTTTTCCTTCACCGTCTGTCAGTGATGTCTAAATACTCTTAGAAACTACATATGACTCGGAAAAATCACATTGGTACTTGCCAGGATCGTACCCGCGCCCTTGAACACGAGAGGCCGGCCTTTTAACTACTAGGCCACCACTGACTATACTATACTACAATAATACTATACTATAATCATTTATTTATACAGAATCACTGTCGAGCATTGTCTTTTTATTATTCGCATTAAATATTCGTGTAAGACATGTATGTACACAAAACGGGAGAAAATGTCTTCATAGAATTGCAAATCTTCATTCATACGCATCAAAAAATATCAAGGTTTGCTGTGATAAAGGAATTCCTTCGCTCTGTCTATTGAATTTAACGTTAGCTGTGTTGGGGAGACACACATATACGTATATAGGTTTGTTTTATTTATATAACACTAGTTTTTGGCCGCGACTTTGTCTGCGTTAGCATCAGGATAAGAAATGTATAGCTGACCTGGCGAATTCTATTCCTAGATAAGAAGATTTTGGATTTGATCAACTTAGTTTTTTCTTTTTTTCAATTGCATGAAAATTATCCTATGTCCTTTCCCTTATTCTTAACTATCTCTCCGACAATTTTCAGCCAAACCCGTAAAATTGTTCTTGAGTAATAAATAGTGTAACTAATACAACTATCTTTTATATATAGGTATAAGATTTGATTTAGTATATTATTTAAATGATTTTATATTTCAATATCTTCGTATGCGGAATCTTCTAATAAATACTCCTATTAAGTTATTTCTGTATTTTTATATCACTATTTTTCCTAAAACAATTTACTTGTGTTGATTGATAATGTGCTCATAGAATGTGACGTGACGGAATCTTATTGAGATCAGAGAGATATACAGAGATATAAAGAGATATAGAGAGATATACGAGAATAACGCATCAACTTTTTCAATTAAATGTACTTGTAAAAGGCCTTTGAGTTTTAATTAGTTTACTACAACAGAATATTCATGAAGTAATGATTAGAAAAATAATTATTTAAATTCAATGGCTTTGAAGAATTAAATGTTTAGAAGAATCATTTATGTGTATTTTTTTTTCATATATTTCATTTTATTTCGTTAATTTTCATATTGAATATAACGGAAATAATTTCATACAGTTCACTTATTTCTGAATGAAAGTGACAAAACCATTAAACACACACATTGTAACATAATTTTTCTTACAATATACATTATGTGTTCCGATGAAGATATATTTTTCTTTTATTTTTTCTATTTGATATGCTATCATGAAATAATATGAAGAACATATTTGTATTTTCTAAGAAAACAGATGACTGTTTGAGTTTAAAAATCTTGCACGTTCGGAAATAATATGCACGTTATTTAATAGATTCTAAATGTTTTTTTCTTATATATTAAAGGTTTTAATTAAAATTTTAACCTATGCATAAACCTTACCATTCATATATTAAAATTAAATACCTTTATTATTGTAAACTAAACTCCTAATACTATTATTTTAGACACACCTACATTAGAGACTTAAGTAGTATTTAAATGAAAAAATATTGTATATTTTCTTTTATTTTTAACTACCAAGCCATCAATAATCATTGTGCAAAATAAAATCATTCATAAAAAATATCTAAAAATTACTAACAAGAGCTTTATTACTACCAAAAGTAAATAAGAAAATATGTATATATCTAAAAGTAATTTAAAGCCATAAGCTGGAATATATAAACACCATAATTAAAACTGCAAAATAAATATTTGTAATATAAACGGTTTAACTCTGACGGGATTACAAAAGTTTGATAAAATCACACCCAAAGAAATAAAACAATAGTTATATTAGAAAAATCATATAATCTCCACGCCGTAAGACACATTGCTATCCTATTTTTCCTATACTAAGACTTCATTCACACTAAGACATTTATCTTAATCATATGTCAGATGTCAAGTTTTTCAACTGTCAGTCAAAGCCAGGACTGTTACTGGTATGTATTCGGCCTAAGCGTGACTGGTTAGGTCTTTTTTATTAAAGAAAGAAAGAAATAAACGTAGAAAAACAATTTCTTGGACTTTTAAAAGAAATAAATCTAAAAACTTTATTAAATAATATTTAAAATGAAGAAACATGTTTTTAAAAACTTGACGAAATAAAAAAAAACTACAATGATTTTGAAAATTATAAAACTAATTACATGAACTCATTTGAAAGCTGCTTAAAGATAATAAGAATAAAATAAAAACTAACAAAGACTTAATTATAATTAATTTTACAAAAATATTTTGTTTTTTAAATCCAATTACTTACAAATTGACATTTATGAATAAATCTTTTGATATTATTCTTTGTATAGAAACTTTTTTGTGAATGACGAAACAAAAATGTCATTTATTAATTAATAATTAAAAATATCCGACATGTAGATCGTGGGTCGGTATCAATCGTAGACGGTAGTGTTTGAGAACCAATCAATATGCTTTTAAGCAAATTGGATAGAATTATATTAAAATAAAGCAATCGAAAGTCAACGAAATTGAAAGCCTTTTCAAAACTCCGCGGTTATTGAGGAAAACAGAGGCCATACTCGAGGATATTTTGAAGTTAACAAAAAAAATTATAACCAAAACTTTACAGAGAATCACTTCGTTATCTTATCAAGGGTTGTTTATGGAAATATATTTTAAGAGGATTAATATTGAGACGAACTTTGACTGTGAAATTAGTCTAAAACGATAATATTCATTAGGTATTATAAATTCATCGAAGTCCTGTTCCAAGGTGATAATTACGATATTCAATTATTTTACATTGTGCTGAGACAGAACAAATATTTATATAAGCTGGTAGAATACGTGCTAAATAAATATTCCTGTTTTAACCAAAAACGAAATTATACTTTCATTAAACCGCTTAAGAGTCATTTAATACAGACTTGAGATGAGGCTTTTTATTCAGAGTTCAAATCCTTAATGATTTTATTCATTAATAACTCATTAACTTTTATATAATAAATTTTCTGGTATCATTATAAGGACACGTTTATATACACATATAATGTTTAAACATTCAACGGTTTCTCAGAACCTTACATGTAATCGTCTTATTAGCCTTTGATGTATCTTGTGGTTCTAACCCTTAGTATCATAAACTTTGTCAAAGAGCTCGCAGTTACAATGTTTTTATAAATGAATATCATTAATATAATTGTAATTAGTAATTAAAAATTATAAAATTAATGACTGTGATTGCAAAGTATATTCAAGTACATTGGTAGCAAGTCAGTGGTGGCCTAGTGGTTAAAAGGCCCGCCTCTCATGCATGAGGGCGAAGGTTCAAAATCTGGCGAGTACCAATGTGATTTTTCCGAGTCATGTACTTTCTGAGAGTATTTAGACATCACTGGTTAATGCATTCCCAAAAAGGGTTGATGTCAGGCAGGCGGCCGGTCGTAAAAACAATTAGCCAAAATTATTCACAACATGTAAGGTAGACCCTGGCTGGAGCAGGGAAATTGCCAGGTAGAACAAGATATTCGAGTACATTATTTATAATCACATAGTGTTATATACACACATACATTATATCTTCTTAGCTAACTTATTAATATTATATATTTATTGATTTGATTAAAAACTTGTTTTGCAGCTTGTCTCGCAAAACTATGTTATTGGTATTAGACTGTTAGTAAACAACAAACATTGCAACGAGCGAACAACTGATAGTGTGGTATTTATTAAGCTTAAAAATGTGTGTAAATTTGAAAAAATACTGTTCATACGATAATTAAACAATGTGAATGTGATACAATACTTATTAGTGTTGGATATCAAGAATAATTTCCAGTATTTTTTCATCATCAATTTCATAATTTAATAATATTCTTAGGAATTTTAGAAAAAAAATTGTTAAACTTTTAACAGCATCAATAAAGGACGTAACTTTGTTGTTTCGCGTTCATTATCTTTCCTTTCACAAAACTCGCTATCTCTAATATGACGTTTTTGACAGTTGGAAATTTTTGTCACAGATTATATTTTACGAATAGACTTTGAAGTTAACAAATAACGATTTGAATGAGTTGTCAAAATGACATTGTGACAATTCCGTTACGATATTTCGAATTTAAAACAAACTTTTCATGATAAATGAACAATCAAAACAATAGATAAATAATAATAACAATCATCATCATTGTTTTAATACTGATAATTAAAAAATAAAGAAAGACGTTGTGCGGTCCAATTTATATTTTCATTTATGGCATCACATAAGATCTTAAAAAGTTTAGTACCTGATAAGACGTCTCTCTCGTCACAAAGAACTTTCTTAATTATTTTAAGTCTACAAAACTGATGGTGCTGAGAATAAGAACACATTTAAAGGGAAACAAGATTAATTAATGAATTCTGACTTAAAAATCTCACGAGACAAAAACCTCATTAAAATCTCTTATTGAGTAAAGGTCCAATGCATTAACTGAAACGAATCTGATTCAATAAAACCAAAGCATAAAGATAATGTAAATTGAATTTTAGTACTCGATCGAGACGGAGTGAGATTATCCCTTAAACAATTAAGAAATGACTTGAGAGCTATCTTAATGACTTACAGGATAGTATTTTAAAATAAAACTTTGTTTTACGTGTATACACACGTACAAAATACGAAAAACAAAGATCTAAGATATATATTTCTTATTTTTCGAGCACAAAAATAGTCAGAATTGTTCTGCTTATAATATATTTAGAAACTTTGATGTTGATACTTAGTTACTTTTAGTTCTAATGTAAATTTCTCTAAAGCACTTACTCATTGACGCTAATATCCGAGTGGTATCCATTAATCATATCTTAATATGATTTTAAATATAAATTCTCGGAAATGAATGCATTTTAAGCAAAATGATGTTTTGTTCTAGGCATTACATAGCGAGAAAGAAAAGTCATGCAGTTTAGACATTGAATATAATCATGGATATAGACGAAAAAGTTTCTGGGCCCGGTGGGGCCTCGCAGAAGAATTGGACACATTTGAACGCCACCAGCGATGAATTGCCCCTTGAAATGCGTTTCAACCATGGACACATGGTCTCTATAGTGGTGTACAGTGTACTTATGATGGTATCAGCTGCTGGAAATTTAACAGTTCTATCACAACTGGTCAAAAGAAGAAGAGCTGGACGGGCTAGTAGGCTGGACGTGTTGCTAATGCATTTGGCGGTCGCTGACCTTATGGTAAGAGCTACATTGTTTACAAATACTATTACAGCAATTATCAAATTGTAAATAGGTCCATTCAAGGTTATCTTAATTAAACAAAAGCGTTGTTTTAGCTAAAAAATCCATGGGAAAATAAATTAGTTACTATTATTTCTTGTTGCCGGAAATATTTAGTAATAAATCAAATTCTATGATAAATCAATTAAAAAAGTAATTTCATCGAGAAAATCGAATACCCGTTATTTTGGTGACAACTTCAAATAGAAAACCATGATTATTTATATCCTGTAAAGTATTCAAGTCATTTTTATTAAGGTATAAAGTTCGGTTGTTGTTAAGCTATCAGTAGTTTGTGTACTGTTTGGTTAAACTGCAACAGTGCGTGTATCCAGGTGACGTTTCTGATGATGCCGCTGGAGATAGCCTGGGCAGGGACGGTTCAGTGGAGAGCTGGTGATCTGATGTGCAGGCTCATGATGTTTACAAGAACCTTTGGATTATATCTCTCCAGCTTCGTCTTAATCTGTATCGCGATTGACAGGTGAGCTTATTACTTCACTACAATAAAAACATTTATTTAACAGGTAATTTTTTCACATTCAGTAATTATTTAATGTTTAATTTATTACTAATTTGGAAAAAAATACTTTAAAATTCGTTAAGTCATAAGATATTTCAGCTTAAACTTTCTTCTGATAATCTGCTTCCAGTGCAGATACGCGGAATTATCCAATGGTAGTTACGCGGTTTTGTACTATCCCCGACGATATCATTCAACTGCGTCATAAAAATTTATACTACCTTAGTCTATTAATAGTTTCAAAAATTAAATAATATTAATAACAATTCCAATTGAAACTCATATTTTTCGGATATACTACGCGTGCTTCTTTATAGATGCCTACATAGGAGATGTCTCGTTTGCCCGTGATCACAGTTGCTGAAAAGTAACCGAAACGTTTGGAGTATGTAGATCCGAAAAATATGAGTTTCATTTAAATGAATAAAACTCGCGTTAGTCTTAGATCTCATTACAATTCTAACTATTTAATATCTATACTATACGTACATTACAAATGTTGAACTAATTTAACTACTATAAAAAGCGTACGGTTTCAATATATGTATTGACTTGTATTTTTTTATTTTTCAGATATTACGCGATCCTAAAGCCTTTAAACGTGACATGGGAGGCTCGTGTGCGTCGAGCCTTGACCGTCGCATGGGTGTGTGCTGTCCTCGCCAGCCTGCCTCAAAGCTTTATATTTCATTTGGAAGAACATCCTGATGTTAGAGGGTGAAGACTGTTAATTTATTTACTGTAGTGACTCTAATAATAGTATTTATATTTCTTTATTGTAATGACTCTAATTGTATTAGAATTTTTACTGCAATGGCTGTAATAAGACGCTGATAGCAGGGTCCTGCTTGTTTTTCGACAATGTGAAATAGTTATATTCGAACATGCACTTTGTATTTGTAATAAATAATAATTCAACATCTAAATAAGATTACACCAAAATTTTAAATAAATTTCACCACAAACATTTTTGAAATAATATCAAATTCAACAATAGCAATTTCATCGTAATCCATAACTATGTAATTTTTATTTAATTACTCCTAGAAACAAAATTATTCTAAACAAATAATACTGTAGAAATATATAAAAAAAAACTAGTAATTTTGAATGAAAATATTTCACTATTCTGCCTTTACTATATACAGATTATAATCATTTAGGAGAAATAAAAACCATAACTAGTATTCTAATCTTAAGTCTTTGAAATCTGTTAGACCGTTGGTCAAGCGCCAAGTCAATAAATCGCCACCAATAACAGCTTATCTAAAGTGTATCATAAATAGAACACATATCCTTTTATTCTAATTGTATGAATCATGATCAAATACAGATTTTATTACGAACTATTTATTTCATAATGGACTTTACATACTTAATATTGAACATTTATTAATCAAGGTATTTCTATTTATGAAGAAAAGAGATCTAATTTAATATGAATAAATTCATTTTTCTGATTGTCAAAGAAACAGAAATAAATTGATACGTAAAAAATAAAATACGTGTACATAAATTACGTGTATATAAATTACGTATTTAATATTTATATCACACGTAATATAAAATAATTTCATATACCATCTCTACCTTGGTTTCCTAAAAGGGTTCCTTTTTATATTCCATCAGTGAAATACGAATTGTTCGGCAGAAAACCTCTCCGCATTTCCACTTGAATTATTTTTTTTATGGGAAAATAATATAACCTTCAATAAATTTCTATCATTATCTGTTATATTTAGAATCTGTGCAATAGCCATCAATATATATTAAATAAGACAGAAATATATAATATCGCAAAATAATTATATATAATGATCAAACGCTTTTTAGCATCATACTATCTTAGACTTCTTTTTGGAAAATATACCGGGGACAAAAAATATTCTTAAATAGCAAAACAATAACACTGAATTCGATTATATATAAAATTATATTCTCTTCATCTTGACAATTAAAACTTAAAGTAAAACCGCTTCTGTCTAATTTGTATTACAATCAGTTTTCGCGACTTCAAAGGGATAATCATATTGTAATAATTGCTATCAACAGGTACTACCAATGCGTTTCCTACGGTTCGCTGCCGACAGAGCGGCATGAATTTGCCTATTTTCTGGTAAACATGGCCCTGATGTACGTCGCACCTCTGGTTTCAACACTATACTGCTCTTCTGCAGCCCTTCTTGAGATCATACGGAGGGCTAACACTGCTAATGGTGAGAGGATTATTCTATTAACCATTAGAGAAGAATAAAAGTAGTTTGTCTAGAAGATAGTAATTGTTACATGATATCTCACTCGTTATGTGAAGTTAATTACTGATTTTACTATGAAAAATTACTAAATTATATATCTACATTCTAAGTGAACATTTATGTACATGTTTTACGTATATATTTTCTAATAAAATTTCCTTTTAAGTTCCGCTAGGGATCTAAAATACTATGCATTTAGAAATCGCTTCAACTATCTGCTTGTTTTATGAAGCACAAAACGTTTTTTATAATTAAATGTAGTAATCAAATATTTTTTTAACAAACTATGGTTTAAGCTGAGTGAATTAGACGAAATCTCGATTAAGAGACGGTGTAGTTTGAAACAAGGTCGGGATTAATTTTTAGTCATTTTTAAATATGAACTGCGAATTTCTTTAAATTTTAACTTGTATAAAACATTTAGAGATATGTAAGACCATTTTATCTTCACTATTTGTTCCATTCAACCAGAATCAAGGTGAATAATAATGTGGTATTTATATCGTTTAACAACTTCATTAGTAAAATACGGAAAGTTGAGCATGCTCACTTTTAATATTACTTCCCTTTATGACTTTATCCTTGTCATTTCTGAACCCGTTTAAGAATTGCATTTACCAGAAACATCGCTGTATTCAACTCTCGAACATAAATAGTAACGTCAAAATTTGTTCCAATCATCTAATTAATTTTCTTCAATAACATAATTAAATGAACATAAATACGTATACTAAAGCTTCTGTTATGACAAACAAGTTATACCCCTTGATTTAACCCACTCATGTAATCCTAAACCATTGTACATTCAGCAAACGATCGGTTAATATCCAAATTACCATTAGCCAGTCAAAGCCGGTTGATTATACTTATTTAAATTGACTCACGTGTAAGAATAATGTGACATATTAATGAAAGGAATTGTGAAGCAAGTTATTTTGATATAACTTATGTATAATATTATTTACTTCTTATTTGCTTATATAGTTTAAATTTTTTATATATATTTTGTACAGAGACGTATCTATTATATGATGTTATATTACTTTTATTTGTTAAATTCCTCACGTTTTTTTACTCACCTGTCGAATATAACATTCTCAGGGAGTATAGCTCGGTAACATAAATAAATATAAATATTTATATTTTGACTTTGGTCTTGCGTATATAAAAAGTATTTAAAAAATCTTAATGATCACAGCGTAATTATCACGAAAACATACTTTCAGTAAAATCTTTAATATCCCGATCAAGAGTTAAATTTTTAAAACAAAGAAACAATTATCGAAGTGTATACAAATTTTTATTTCCCTTTAATATATATCTTATAAATAATTATTATTTATACAGTACATATAACTAGTCAATTATATTGAAAACTGAGGATCAAACGCTCACATGTCTTCCTAATTCTATATGTTCAGCCACTGCCCCTTTATTTTTATTCACTTTCGTGTCACGTTTGAAACACGTACGTCCAGGAAAATTTACTTCGTCATGTAACCGTTCAGTACCAAAATTTCGCTTTTGCAAAACTTCTGGTCGTAATTTTCATTAATAAATCTTCATATATATGTACCTAAATAAGACTGAAATTACCGTAATATCAAAATTACACGACAAATATTAACCTATAGTAAAATAATATTAAAATCATAATATTTATTACCTAATTCATATTCTCGTTATCACATTTGTTTGTGATAAAATTACGATACAAAAATACATGTTTCTTTAAAGTCATCTCTTATTTTTCCAATAGAATATATATAGTATCAAAAAAAAGTCTTATTTGTTACGATGATGTAGGTCAATATTGTTTTGCTTCGTAAAATCAAAACAATGTATATATTTTAAATAAAATAACAATATAAAGGAATACCATACTGAGTATTTTCTTTGTAGGAACACCCTGTGTATAATATATTAAGAATAACATTATTGACTTAACCACTTAAAATTCATATAGGAACGTAAGCCATAGCGTCTTATTTAACAAAGTTGTAAATATGAAAATAACTATTATTTCTATAGGTTCCTATAATACCTTTTTTTGATATAAAATTTATTATGTTTTCTTATTTTATTTTCAGATAAAATGCGTCGTAGTGGAGTTGGTATCTTAGGAAGAGCCCGTGCCAGAACCTTAAAGATGACTGTGACCATAGTTCTCGTATTTTTCGCTTGCTGGTCGCCTTATTACTGTTATTGTTTGTGGTGAGTTTTTTGTACATCTATTTAATACTATACGTACGATATTTTATCTTGAAAATCTTTCACATCGGAAAAGATCTAGGTATTCTTTCTCTTCTAAAACTTTAGTGGACTGTGATCCAAAAATCAAGTAATTTGTTAAAAAAATAATGTGTTTATATAAATCATTCGCTTTTTCATAAAATATGACTTCTTATTTATAAAAAAACCAAGTTGTTTCTAATTTTGTTGATTTTCTTAAAGGTAAAGATAATTTACGAATATATAAGATTTTCGGGAGTACGTGTTCAAATTTTCACTTTCATCTCGTATACCCGTGATCACGGTTACTATAAATAGCATCAAAATATATACACAGTATTCAACCAATCTATATTTTAATTCTAAATAATCTTTGAGTAATATCAAAACACACTTTAGTGAGAACTAAATAATTCCACTTATTATTTATGTAGATATACAAAGAAATAGAATAGAAATTGCTTTGACCAATTTTGTGTTTTTTTTTGCCTGTTTTCTAACTCAACTTCCTTGTATTTCAAGTACTTTGATGTATTTTTTTTAACTATAGATTTTTTAAAGCCCCAACATCGCAGGATTCGCTTGACCCCTGTCGTACAAGTTTAACAAATACTTTATTATTATTAGTAGCTACTAATAATAATACCTAAAGTATTAAAGTTTTAGTTAATACTAATAATATTCATAACTATAATCTATAAAAAGCATTAGTGGTTACTAAATATAAACTACTAAAATTAAAGAGTAGTAACTACTACTGTTTAGTTTTAGGTAGTTGGGATTTTTGCATATATGTATATGTATGCTACTGATTTAATTGTTAGTTTTACTATCTTTATCTCTACACTAGTTATTACCTTTAGTTGTTTACTTTATACAGGTATTGGATAGATAAAGATTCAGTGAAAAGCTTAGACCCAGCCTTCCAGAAGGCCATGTGGCTATTCTCGTGCACCAACTCCTGCGCTAATCCAATCGTTTATGGAGTCTTTAATAGGAACCGTTGGACTTGGAGATCTAGCCATGTAAGAATTTTAATTAATTATTAATAATGTTCAGAACATTTATATCTTATAGCTTCATGGCGGCCTAGTTCGTTGAGGCCCGCCTCTCATGCATGAGGGCGAAGGTTCGAAACCTGGCGAGTACCAATGTGATTTTTCCGAGTCATGTACTTTCGGAGAGTATTTAGACATCACTGATTAATTCATTTCCAAAGAGGGTTGATGTCAGGCAGGCAGCCGGTCGTAAAAACAATTAACCAAAACTATTTACAACATGTAAGGCAGACCCTGGCTAAAGCTGGGAAATTGACAGGAAGAAGAAGACTGACTATGATTCCACCAAAACTATGAGGAAGTATTTCAATAACGACGTATGACATAGTAGTTAAATAATTTATTTAATTTCAATATGTTGTCATCAGCCTATCAGAGCCCACTGCTGAGCAAGGCCTCTTTCTCACATGGAGAAGGTTTGAGCATTAATCACCACGCTTGCTCAAGACGGGTTGGTGATTTCAAACTTATAATTGTGAAACTATAAGTCCAGGTTTCCTCACGATGTTTTCCTTCACCGTATGTCAGTGGTGTCTAAATACTCTCAGAAAGTACAAATGACTCCGAAAAATCACATTGGTACTTGCCAGGTTTGAACCCGCGCCCTCGGCAACGAGAGGCGGGCCCCCTAACCACTAGGCCACCACTGACAATTTCAATATACCAAACAATAATTGCAATGTTATCAATTCCGTTTATTGTCATTTAAGATATTTTTCCATATTACTATAAATGGATAGATTAAAACTAATTTAACTATACTGTTTTGTAGACGGGTCGATGTCGAAATGGTTTGCGAAGATGTTCAAGATTTCCACACGGCGATTCAATGGAGATATCAGCTGCTACTCTGGCTCAAGCCAGACAACGGAGTGACAGAAACAGCAGGCGAGACTCGGGATTCACAGCGAAGAACGGATCACAGAAACACATAAACAACAACAACAATATTAACGGAATCGTTTAACAGAAATAACGATGATTGTCATATTAACGATAATGACGTCAACGAAGTTCAATGTATAAAGCGTGTATTCTATTAAAAAAAATTCTCTCTTAAGCATATTTTAGTTAACAAAGGAGAGCTTTAAAGTCTTTATACATATCTATATAGGATAAGATAAGGTTTAGTTGTTGTTCGTTTTTGTATATAGTAGCTATATGTAAACTATTTTAAATGTTTTAATAACAGCCTGTTGTTCTTTCAAAGTTTATTAATATATCAAAACATTCCTTTGTAATTATTTTGATACTCACTTTGTGTATTGTTTAATATTTATGTATTTTTTTTAATGGAGTAAATTTGATGGTTTTATATGTTCTAGTGTGAGTTTTCTGTTGTCTATAGTTATTATAGTTTTCAAGTTTGATATTCCAATTATTCATTGCCCCTACTATGATTTATTAGTATCTTAAATATAAAATTTTTAAACCACAGAGTTCGTAGTAGGGGCACTGATTCTTACGGTGGCTGTGAAGTGATAGAGACTCGGTTTATGTCACAAGTGAAATGAAATTTGTACCAAATAAGCCTTAATATGTAAGTAAAAGTGAAATTTGTTAATAAAAATAAAATAAAACTGATGAATTATCATATGTATTTATTAAAATAACATTCTAGGCATCGAACATACAATTTTACAGAAATTTTTAACAATTTAAAACATTTTATCGATAAATTTAATGTATTTCTTTAGAAAAATATCAATTCGATATGCTCGTTACATTTTGTATGTATTTAAAATATTTGAAATTATTCTAAACAGAAGTTCCTACAATAAATTACATGTGACAACGCAAGCATCCGATTGATAAAAGGATTATAATCTTATTATTTATAAACAATCATCTTATTTCCTAGTTTTTGGCCTTTATACTGTCATTTCTTATATAAATAATAACAAATAATTTTAAATTAAATAAGATATATCTCTTAAATAAAGATTTTATTATCAAATCGTTCTCAACGATTCAAAACGAACGTGATTAAACACTAAGTGTTGTTTATTAAACTGGAATGCAATGTCTTATGATGGACTAAAAACTGAATTATTAGTACTCTAATATGGCACTACGTTTAATATTTGGTAGATAAAATACAATAAAAATGGTTAAAATATATGCAGAATTTACCAAAACTGATTAGTAAATGTTAGATCGTCATTGAAAAAAAAGTGTTAATTTTTTTTAATAAATGTATAAATCTGCGATAATATATTATTGAAAAGATAAAAATTTTTGGTCTTGAAGTATTCGATTACTCGGTCACAGAGTAGAATATAATTTGAATAGAATTATAAATTGAATAATGAAGGTCTCAAAAACCCTTCCACGAGGTCTCAAATATTTAAATGCGATGTAAATCTATACAAATGATTTTGAGAAATCATGAAATAGGTTTTAAGTACTGCAAACGGCTGTTGATATTTAATGGCACATTGAGAACACAATCAATCATATTATGTCACTAATAATTATATAAAACAAAGTTAAAAGACAATTACTATGTAAAAATGTAAGCTACACATTCATTAATATATTACAATGAACACTTATACGAGAGAATTTAAAATTTGAACGAAAATAGATATTTCTTTTGTTTCATCCAAACATTCGCTTTTAAACATTTTTTTTTTTGTAAGTATAAATAGGTAATACACCAAAACATGATTCCCGTGATTTTGTTAAATTAATAAACATAATTAAAACATATTAATGACGAAATATATTATACAAGTAGAGAGAATAAATAAATCACAACGATATTATCCACGTGGCATTGTCCTAACACGGTAATACGTCAAGTATCGCTGTTTTAACGTTACCTAACATAGTATTTTAGGTTCAATGTTCACCTTTTTCTAACTCAGTGAGCTCGTGACCAGCGGCTACTTCTCTGTCGTTCTGTAATGCTCTTGTCTTCTCAATATCTCCCTGTGAGAGTGACGTCACAATGATCGCGCCAAGAGCATCGCATACCACGTTTATAGTTGTCCTGAATCTGTCACTGTAATGTAAAAAATGTCTGATTAGTAAAGGATTTGTAATTAAATAAATTAATTGCTCAGGACAACAGCATGTCAAATATTGTCGATTCTGACAAGAGCTTATCAAATCTTATGTTTAACTTTGAATATTTACGCCTACTTCATTTACAAATAATATGTAATAAATGCTTGACATGGCAGTCAAGCACTATCCAGTCCAAATAAAAAATAAAATCCTGAGCTGGAATAAAGGCCTATGGGACGCAATAATTCGTTATTTTATCTTGATTTGAATTTTAAGTGGTGAATTTTTCATATTTAACTGGTTGTTCGTCTTATCTATGTTGTATATTATTTCAAATTAATATTATGTTACTAACAGCTTGTTGAAAACTTAATTTATGCCCACACGAGCTGATGTTCTACAATCCAGACATTCCTTCCACACATGAATTAAAAATTAAATTACCTCTCTCCAAAATATGCAAATAAAAAAGGTGCTATTTAAATATTAGGGTGAGACATTAATTCCCTGGTTCCACGAATTAACATTAACATTACACCAATGCCAATTAACATTACACCAATAGAGAAGTGAGTGGTGGCCTAGTGGTTAAAAGGCCCGCCTCTAATGCACGAGGGCGCGGGTTCGATCCTGACCCGGGCAAGTACCAATGTGATTTTTCCGAGTCATATGTACTTTCTAAGAGTATTTAGACATCACTGATTAATGCATTCTCAAAGAGGGTTGATGTCAGACAGGCGGCCGGTCGTAAAAACTATTAGCCAAAACTATTCATAACATGTAAGGCGGACTCTGACTAAAGCTAAGAAATTGCCAGGTAGAAGAATAACACCAATAAAGAAGTCTTCTCTAATCTACTCACAGTAGCCAATCCACAGCGAGGATGATGGAGACGTCTTCCGCGGGTAAGTTGACGGTGTCTAAGACCATCACCATGGTAACCAGACCAGCCTGAGGGATGCCCGCCGCCCCAATACTAGCAGCTGTGGCTGTCACACTGAGAACAGATTAGACGTAGTTAGTTGGTTTAGATGGTATAAAAACTCTGACAGAAAATTTGTAGTACTCATTAGTAGGTTTGGGTGGTATAAAATGTAGGATTATGAATAAATAGGTGATATTTACGCGAATATAATTATATTTAAACCACACAAAGTCATTACAATGATATTCAGGCGAACGCGTGTTGAGAACTGAACTGAATAGATCGTTTTTACATATTATATGCCGGGTGTCACTACTCGCGAACTTCGTACTATCTCAACATAGAAACTCATTGTACCCATATTATTTAATATCAACTTATTTGTATATAGTAAGTGTAATTAATAATAGTAATTACTAACCTTTAAATGAAACTAATATTTTGCTCATATACTATGCGTGCTTTATTTTTATAACTAAAAGTAATCTAAACTTCGGGAGTATATAGTTTTTACCAAAAAAGAGCAGGCGTAGTATATCCAAAAGATATTAGGTTTATTTAAATGAATAAAACTCGCGAAATTCAATACTGACCTAACAGCAACTATCTTTCCGAAGGACATGTCGACTTTTCTCATCTGCGCTATAAATATGGCGGCCACGGCTTCATAGAGTGCTGTACCGTCCATATTGATGGTAGCTCCGATCGGGATCACGAACCGTGTGATGCGAGGGTCCAGACCCATGTCGTCACAACAGCCAATCGTTATGGGCATCGTTGCTGAACTGATGACATATCATGAGTACGAACATGAGAATATTTCCATGATAGGACCGTAAAAAAATCATTTATTTCATGTAAGTTCAGGAAATTTATTAAGAATACAACATGCACAATTTTAGAGACAAGATATTAAGAAACAGAATTATGAACATGAAAATATTTCCTTTACACGACCGTGAAAAAAATCATTTATTTCATGTCATGTTTCATGAAATTTATTTAGAATACAACACGCACAATTTTAGAGACTATAAATTAAGAAACAGACTATGATGATTTACACTTTCAATATAAAGCATATTACCTTGATGCAGTACCAAACGCAGTAGCCATAACTTGACCCATTTTAGCGATGTACCGGCATGGCAACTTCTTGGTAGCCAATATGAATAAAACGCTAAGAGTTCCAAAACCGTGTAAAAACAAGCCCAGAAGTACAGTCATGAAGTACAGACCCAGACGACCGACCAGCTCAGCGAAGGATTCTATCTCCATGATCTTAGCTGTAACAAGGAAGAATACTCCCAAAGGAGATAACCTGAAAAAAAATTATCATAAAATTAAACTCTAGTTATTAAGCACATGACTATTCTTTTTCAAAAAAGTTCGATTCATGTAAGTTTCTCTTACTTATGCTTACGTCTTTCTCTGAATAAAGCAATTAGAATGACGTCCCTGCTACTCCGTACAATACTGAACAGTTTCTTACCAAATAACCCATCCCGTGATAATCATCATGGCTTCAGACAGTGAATGGAAGAATGTCTGCAGCGGCTGGCTCTTATCCCCCATTTTCCCGAGCGTAATGCCGAGCACAACGCTAAAACACACCAACCCCAAGACATTGCTGCCGCTTTGGTAGTCACCTTCTATCTTATAGGTTTCCAACTGGCCTGGAATTAAGAAATATTTCTATTATATTATAATATATTGCTCGTTTTTTTTTGCGTATAGGAAACAGCTAACCTATAATACGGTCAAAGCTAATATTTCTAAAAGCATAAGACAAGTTGCAAAAAAAAACTCCTGGGCTACCTTGCTTGCACTGTTTCATTAATACAAAAGGAGTAAATAAAAACTTATTGCTAACTATCTCACTCAAAGCTTCCTACAGAATTTAAATACATTCATATATCCACATTATTTTCTAAGCTCTACTAGCATTTTTGCTATATATTTTACAAACATACCCAAGAATGTATGAGTCAAAAACTAAGTATCTTCACTCAAGAAGACGAACACAGAGGGGTTAGTCTAGACCAATCAAGACAATGGAGCGAAAAATGAAACACACGTTGGATACAATCACGATGTTATTACCTTTAATAATTCTAGTGTCGTTCTGGTCGTAAGTCAGCCTTGTGCGGTAAGACGCGATTGTTGCTTGCGCTAAGTTCTCTGGGAATACGTTTCTGTAAATGATAAATATATTACCTTATTATGATAATTTTTATTGTTTGTTAGGTCTTATTATCTATAAAGATTAATATTTGATATCTCAGCTTAAACTAGGGTCATAAATAAGATAGGATTTGCGTCCTTATAGGTAATTATTCAATTATTCAATAAATAAAATATTTAAAGGACAAATGCCGTAAACACATTATATGGTTCAAACTTATCATTATCGTGTGATAAATTTAATGAACTTTTAGTAAATTTCATGAGCTTAAAAGCCATACCAACAACACGTTTTTTACTCACAAACAAAAGACATCCAGGAACAAGGAGGAAGTAAATAAAATTAGACGGTTCTGTATTTGGGAATTTTTTTATCGAATAAAAATTTGCTCACGTACTTTATTCGTTCATTGTATATTGGAATTATTTATTTATCTGTACCCGTGAACCATACATAATTAACCAAATAAAAGAGATTCAAGGTTTAAATTAATATTAAGCGTACCCATCTTATGGTAATGTTAAGAAAAAAACATTTAGAAATACGATTAGCTATGATTGTCTCAAGGAAATTTAACTAAACAATATTGAAGTCGTTATTTAACAAAGGAAATATATATTTAAAAAATACATATATAAGAAACTAAAACGAAAACTTTATTTTTAATATTTGTGAAAAAATGTCTGTGTTCTTAAAAGAATACGTCCAAAATCACAATAGTTTTGCCATAAAAGCACAAGAATCTGAAAAATAGTGTTCTTTAATAAAAATTTTCTCCACTTATAAAAAAAAAACCCCAAAACATATAAACTTCTGTCCTATTTCTAGAGAAATTATGTTTAAAAAACTGCTTTCTAATGGCGGAAGCTAATTTCAAGCAGCAATTGGATTAGTGAACTTTAAATTAACCTTTCTCGTGTATGTCATTATTGCATTATCTTGTTATGTCACGTTAAAACTGAAAATAATATATTTTGTATTTCATACAAAAGCTTATAAACCATTTAAACATACATATTAGTTCCCATGACTTGCAAATAATAATTATTGTTTATTTTTAATATAATTTAATAGTTTTAATGGGTGTAATGTGCCAAAACGATCACGTGCATGCTACTATGTTACCTGGCAATCACAATCATTATTTACCAAGTTATCTATTGATACTATGCTAGGGCTGTCTCTTCAAACATATAAAACAATAATATTTATTACTCAATAACAAATATCTTTCTAGATTTTGACAACCATTATTGCAAATAAATTTGATGAATTCGACTGAATTAAATATTGCATATACTACGTATTTTAAATCTAAAAATATAATTTTGATGTACATTGCGGTTTATATACAGAAATGAAAGTATTCACTTCAATAATGATACTCAATGGACTTTACAACAAGAAACAAATACTATAAAACACAAGGAAATAGTCTAGTATAGTAATATAGTAAAAAAATACTATTAGCCAGCCCTAATGACGTGGAATGTAGGGCGCAATATAAATAGCGTTGTCTGATGAAGACTGACGAGGGAACCGTCGCCCGCGTCGCTTCACTTCGACAATTTACTGAGCATTTGACGCCTAGCTTTATACATAACTCTTATATATACATAGGTTTAAGGTTTAAAGAAGTTTATTTCCAAAAAGAACAGAGTTCGCTTATAAAGGAAATTTTAAAAACTATAACTACAATTACAAATAACAAACAATAGTGATATTAAACAAGATCAGTGAAATCTTCTAATATATGGGTTCTTAATCGTTTTTTAAATATATTTAGAGATTTTGAATTGACAATAAATACATGACTATTATATACTAAGTATATATATATGACTAGGCGTTTATATACACACGATGTAACTTATCTCATTGAAGTTGTTTATTAAATTGTAAATCATTAACTTGTACGGTTAGGTTCTTAGAAGGTTTTAGAATTTTATATGTATTCAGAAATTATGTAAAGTACCTGAATTTTATTCTAAATATATAAAGCTGCACTAGGAATTTCCACTTATTATCAGTATATCAAATACTGAGATATCGGGAGAAAATATCACACAAAAAATTAAAAGGATTTTTTAAATTCTTATTAAAAGTATATATACTTGATAGCGCGTTTTCTTTTTACGTTCAAATTATTTAAAGCTGCTGGAAATCTATTATTATGATTTAAGGTTTTCTTGATATTGTTATGTTTCTGTTTATTTTAAGGTTTTTTAAGTTTACATATTATTATTACAATAAACTAAAAGGTCACATTTAAAATATTCCTGAAATCATTCATTCTTGTAATCATTCAAATACATTCATTCATTCTGTTACCCTCAATATATGAACATGATTTCTGTACAAAGTTTTACAGGTTACCTTGTTACCTTACCATTTTATCATAAGAGCAATCAAGTCAAATCAATCATCCAATTACACAAACTAACGGACAAATCTACTTTTATATGTATTCTTTACGACGGAAACTTCTAACTAAAACTTGCCACACGTCCACTTCGTATAAATTACAAGGAATCACAATTTACATTCAAGTATTCGTATATTTAGTAGTAAATAACAAAAACGTTTCTTTTAAACGTAATTGGAAAACAGATCGTTTAAATGAAACTAATATTTTTCGGATGTACTTGTATTTTCTTATTTTTAAACTACATGCAACCGACGTTTCGGTTACTTTACAGCAACCGTGATCACGGGCAGACGAGATGTGAATGTCTGTCTGTGTTCTTGTTATTTTATCACCTACCTACAGCATCTTATCTTAGATATCATTAAACAGATCATTAGTTTTCTGTATAAAATACAAATGTATTAAATAAAGCTAAACCGTAATAACTATTTTTAGTAAAATATGCACGCAAAAAAGTCAGTGGTGGCCTAGTGGTTAAAAAGCCCGTCTCTCATGCATGAGGTCGCGGATTCGATCCTGGCCCGGACAAGTACTAATGTGATTTTCCCGAGTCATATATACTTTCTAAGTGTATTTAGACATCACTGATTAATGCATTCCCAAAGAGGGTTGATGTCAGGCAGGCGGCCGGTCGTAAAAACAAATAGCAAAAACTATTGACAACATGTAAGGCAGACCCTGGCTAAAGCTGGAAAATTGCCAGGTAGAAGAAGACAACATACGGTGAAGGAAAACATCGTGAGGAAACCTGGACTATAATTTCACAATTATAAGTTTGAAATCACCAACCCGTCTTGAGCAAGCGTGGTGATTAATGCTCAAACCTTCTCCATGTGAGAAAGAGGCGTTTGCTCAGCAGTGGGCTCTGATAGGCTGATGACACACACAAATTTTGACAATTTTGTATAAATTTCAACAGTTAATTTATTAATTAATGTGCTAAACTATTAATTATTTGTTCTATCATCCGGATGGCGAAATTACGTCCATTAAGCCAATCATAACGCGTTGTGGGATTGATATGGGATCAAGGGTCATGGTGTCATATAACAAGTATGAAAATAAGAACCATCAAAAAATATATTACTATAGAATAACTTAATATTATTACTAAGAAATTTACAGCGACTTATTGCATATCTATTTTTGTTTGCAAGTTTTGGACTCTTCGTTTTTTTTTAGGTTTTGCGTCATGTAACTAGAGGGTTATTTTAGTTCAATAAGTAATATAAACATATATACTTTTACTTAAAAAGTAATTAAAACTTCTGGTTAGGTAGAGAGAAGAGCTTGGACGGAGGTGAGCATATAACGCGCGTTAGATAGGGACCTCTTAAACCTACACCTAGGTTACAAGTCCCAGTCACTGTTGAAGCTCCTCTCAATACAACGATGGACTCGGCACCAGCACGGTAAATCCATTGAATTATGAGAGGCTCATAGCTCAATAACTAAATGCTAAATATCAAACACGTGGCGTAACATACAATATTTTCCATTACAGTATAATGGTACGTGGATCATATTACAAATACTCGCAAGCATGCTGTCTCATTTGGATTAAGACATATACAATATGTTAGATTAAATCATTTAAAACTTCTAGGAAGATATAATGAAGCTTAATTATTGTGATCTTTATTAAGGGATCGTTTGTTATAAAGGGAAAAACATATACATACTTTGCAGAAGTTATAGAAAATACAAACATTTACACTGTGTTATAGGCAACACATATATTTTTTTTTTTTTTGGGAAAAGGGGGCAACCGAGCAGACGGTCTACTTGATGGTAGGTAGTTACCGTCGCCCATAGACATCCGCAACGTAGATTTGCGGATGTGTTGCCGCCCTTCATTGGGGAAAAGGGGGAGGAAAAGGTGGGAAAGGGAGGAAAAGCAAAGGGTGGGAAAAGGGAAAGGGCAACCGGCTCTCTCACTCACCGGACGAAACGCAGTCTTGGAAAGACTACTTTACGCCGATTTTCTGCGAGAGGGTGGTACTTCCCCGGTCGAGCCAGCCCATGTTCGAGCTGTAGTAACTGACCACAGCTAGGCTCTACCACCATATACTAGTTATTGCCCGTGACTTCGTCCACGTGAACATGTTACCGTGAAATGTATAAAGTTTGTTAAAACAATAGATATGGTAACGTCGATACATTTATAGACGGTGTCACGTGACATCATACATAATAGAATTATTAAAATAGTTTGGAGATAAAAGATAATTATGAATGTCAAATAATTTGCAATAAAATAATCTTGCGACCATAAATTAAATGTAAGCTATACTATATTTCAAGTTTGATCAAACAGCACACGGTTTACAAATTTAATTTAGAATCGGTTAAATAGTTTAGGAGTTCATCGCGGACAAACAACGTGACACGTAATTTATATATAATATTACCAAATCTAGTATTACCAAATCAAGTATTACCTTATCAAATCCAACAAAGTGTCCGAAGTCAGAGTGTCCTTGGTCACCAGTTTCCTTGTGGAGTTAGTGTTATACTCCTCAGAGTGTTTGCCGGGCTTGATTGTGGTAACGAGAGCTATACCCAGCATCACAGCGCATATGGTGGTCGTCATGTAGTAGATGATGGCGCGGAGACCAACCCTGGGGGAAAAATAATAATAAACGTTTATTGGTTAAAAGCTTACACCACTACAAAACAAATAACAAAATAAAAACAGAGTAACACTTATCCTATGTATACAAAAAGGAAAATAAAATAACATAACAACTACAACTACAACAGGACAAATATTAAGTTAAAAATCAATAACAATAATAAAAATGGATACAGAAATGTATAAAGATATAGTTTTTGGACGTTTAAATACGTGTTGAATTAAATTATGAATTGGTATCGAAATTTTATAGTAACTAGTTCTGCCTCGTGGTTGTATCAATTTAAAATTATGTATATCTACGTAAATTGTTAGCTTAATCGCTAAGATTTCAATACATGCATATTGAAGAAATGTCTAAAATTCAATTAATTAACAACTTGATTGATTAATCTGAGCACTGAGTTATTAAGAATATCTTAAGTTTTATTTCACACAAAATGTTATTTTAACAAAAAATAAAACACTATCTATACGCATTGAAAAAGGACTTTACTTCTAAAAGAAAAAAGTTTATAGAAAATGCTTATAAATCATCTTCAAGCTTCAACTCATTAGTTCATAATTTTATATTATAATCTTTCAAAATTAAATACGTAATTGACTTACTTCCCCGACAGACTAAGGTCCAACGATCCGATTGCAGATACAATAGACGATACTAGAAGGGGTACGATCAAACTCTTCAGCATCCTCAAGAACAGCTCTCCCGGGTACTGGAAGTACATCACGTCTCTTCTAGACCACTCTATCCCGGATGCCCTCAAGCCCCATCCCAGTAAAGTTCCCGAAACTACCCCTATTATAGTGAGGATAGTCAGCAGATTTTCCCGAAGGAATGAAGTGCAGGCATTCCGTCTTATTTGCAGCGGCATCTTATTGAAGTATTGTTTCTGTGACAAATTAATTTTTTATATGATTTGGTAAGAAAATGTCAGTATGATAGTTACTAGTATAGTAGATAGATAGTATTAATTTAAATGAAACTAATATTATTCGGATGTGCTACGCGTGCTTATTATTGTAAAGACTACATACTCGTCTACCTTAGATCACTGTTGCTGAAAAGTAACTAAAACATTTAATATGAAAGTTATTTTAATAATTAATTTTACTAATCAAACAACATGGTTAGATATATTAAGTATTATATATCATAATTATTGAAGATTTTAAAGGAAATATAAGTTTATAATTGTCTAATGATGCTTTGTAAGTTCATCAAAGGATTAGTTTTACTCTAAATTGTAGTTCGAAAACTCCCATTTCAAGCCAGCGACTTCTAGAATTTCCTAGTACATTGAATTTAATCATACATGAAGGATATATCAATTATTTGGTTCATATTACTATGTAAATTAAACTATTGAAATTCAAATTAAAAGAAACCTTTCATATAATTACATACAACCTATAAAAATATACATCATACATAAAAGAAAAATCTTCATCTTCACTTAAATAATTTAAAAACAAATTCTGATACAATTATAATTTACTTTTAATTTAATAATTGTTTTTTTTTCTTTCTTTTTAATCTACTATCAAACGTCAAGTCCCCAAGTTGAAAGCCACAGAAATACTCAATCACGTCATAACCTTTTAAATAAAAGCCTCCGGACTCTTATAAAGTAGAGGAACTTTTTTATAATAAAAAAAATATATCTACTGAAGTCAAATTATTTCTTATATAGGTTTGATCAAAACTTGAAATATCAAATATTAAATAAGATATACAACCTATTTGGTATAATTATATTCTTGGAGAAATTGGTACAGATAATCAATACTTGTTCTATTCAGTCGAATTTTCTAGAACTAAATATATTATTTAGTTAAATTAGTAAATTTTGAGTAAGTTAGTCAATTTTAATGAGTAATACTACATTTTAAACCAATATTATAATACTTCTTCAATACTAAAATACCCGAATTCTATACACCGTAGACCTTGAAAGCCGTAGGCGTGACGCCTACGCCGTAGCCCGTAGCCGTAGCTGCGCAACCCAATAAGCCTTCGATGAAAGGAAGCTTTTATAAAAATCATTATTTGTGAGAATAAAAATAAAATTTATATACAATAGAGGTAAAGTTAAATAATAATTTATTTTGATATTTCGTTCATTTAATATGTATATGGCTGGTAATTTATAATATTATTTTGTTTATACCTAACTTGATTTAAAATAAAATAAACTGTAATTCTCACTTCCTATTTATACTTCTATTCGATCACAAAACCTAGAGTGTTCACGATAAGAAATATTCTATTAACGTTAATTAATAGTGTATATTTTCTTTCTAAGTCAAACAAATATTATAAATAAGTAGCCATAATATGTACTCAATACGTTTGACTTAAATTACATTTAAGCTTAAAAAAGTTCGTTAATATTGGAATTTGCTTGACTATAATATATCTAATATTTAATGACTATCTAGATTCTTTTTTTTATTCACGCTGAAGTTGTGTTATATTGTGCCAATGTCAACTTTTTTATTTAATGAAAGAAATCCTTTATAATTTTCAATATATTGAGAAACACGAAATGACTATCATGACGGACAATCTCAGCCTGATTTATTTACGAAAAATTCTGAACCAAAGCCTATTTTTTATTTTGAGTTAATACATTTATATGTCAATCCATTATTGTTACTGATATTATTGATTCGAAAGCTTTATTTAAGTACGTTGCTTATGTTAAGGGGGGTTTAAACTTTAAAGTAAAGATGACAAGAACTTAAAAAGATTTGCTTCTGCCAAACTCAAATGTTTTATTATTTCAAATGTTTTATTATTTCACTTTTTTTGGTAATTTTGCAATATTAAGTGAGCTCTGCTTTTCAACGGCGGTGAAACAATGAATCAAAAACCACGAAAATCAGTGCAGTTGTTCAATAATTATAAATAGTGTAACTAACACGACTTCATATGTTTAGATTAGATATTTCTTTTTCTACCCTGAAATTCGTCTATATAATAACACAAAATAACACAATTTTAATCAATAAATGTACATTATATATATATATATATAAAGTAAATTATATATTACCTTACAAGCCATTTACTATTCAGGCATCAAATAACAACAACTAGCGAACATATGCAACTGTCGTGATAGATTTAAAAACCAAAAAAACAATCCAAAACCTTAATTTGAAATAAATAATAAGAAGCCCATTATGAAAAATTTCATACTTTAATATTATAGCGCTAAAACTCTAAATAAATAAGCACTTAATACTATAAAAAAGTACATCAAGATAAGATAGTCAAAAAACAATCGTAAAGTAATATCAAATATCATATCATATTTCTAATAATTATAATTTTTAAGCGTGGGTAATGCGGGATTCGAGCCGCGCGGTTGTAATTGAGGAAATCTTTATTTAGTATCGCGGGCCCCCTCGCTCACACGGACGCCCCACCTGGATGGAAATGTACACTCGTGCTAACAATCCTTAGGGGGCCTCCACTTACTCACTCAAACACTAGGGATTCAAACACTACTTACAAATTCTTACATAGAAATTCTCATATATAACGTTCTATTTTCAAATATTTATACAACATTCAATTTTTAAATCTATGATATAAAGACTTTTTGCGTGATTTTTTTTTCACGTTATACTATTTTGTTTTTTTTTTATGAATAAAAAATTATAATTAATCCTACTTATGTATGTTTTGTTCCTGAATAAAATACTATTTTTATACTTTAATATATAAAATATATTATATTTATATAACATCAGGAGTGTCTCTCTGTACGAGTGGCTAACGCTCCAATCTTCTGTCATGAAGTACCCCGTACATCCTACACGGTGAGTTACACAGCCACCGCTTATTAATTAAGGAATAAAACAAATTAATCATACAGTAAGTCACATGAAAACAGTATTTATAATACACATGGTTATAAAATATTGTATTATTAATATTAAAAAAGGTTTTATATGTTGTTTATAAAGAAATGTCAATATTCAAAATATTTAAGAATAAAAAAAATGAACGTCAAAAATGTCATCTGTAACTGAGAAAAAGATTGCATAGAATATACATATATGGCGACAAAAGATTGTATCATTATTTTAAAAAATGGTTCTATATATAATTTATAACGAAATGTTGCTATTCAAAATATTAAAAAAATATAAACGTCATCTGTAACTCAAAAAAGAATGAATAGAATATATATGGCAATGACCTATTGTACTATTACTAAAAAAAGATGTTTTATATATAGTTTATGACGAAATGTCGATATTTAAGAATTTAAAAAAAAGAACAACGTCGTTCCACGTCTGTAACTGAAAAAAGAATGGATTGAGTTAAGCTTTTGTATGATTCGTGTAATCCTCTATGTAGGTCGATGAATTGAATTCAACACGGATGAGAAGATATGGAGAGTTATAGATATAATTCATTTACTTTTACGATCATGAATATTCGGGCATCATTTACTTAGAGACTTATCATAGATTTTCTAGTCTAGACTTATATTGTAAGGGAAATGTAGACTTTTTAATGGGTTATGTTCTATGATAGACACTGATACATACATTTTAGAATTTTATTCATTAAATATATTAAATTTAAGGCATTTTTACATTGAATAAAGATAAATCTCAATCGCAAAAATCTTAGCCTAAATACCTAATTTACGCACTATTTTAGTTAGCCACTTCGTCTACTTGAAATTTGGAATTAGGCTTAGAAAGAGTATTGTCTGTTAAAACAAAAGTTATAGCAACGAAATTTTTAACTATGGCCACGTGATTCTATATAACGTATAATTGTTTTGCCTTAATTTGCCATAATTATAAATAATTTCTAAATAAATTATAACCTATGACCAATTCTGATGTCTAAACTACATTATTATAGAGTTTCAACAAAATATTTCAAGCATTTATTGATGGAAAGTGCAACAAACATCCATACTATCGTATATCCCAAAAACTTAATATTTATAAGTAGTATAACCAAAGTATTATATTAAAAATTGCCTTTTTCAACTCATGCTCCTTCATACAAAATCAAAAAACAATGTTGCCTGTCACAATATTCATATTTTTATTCATTTTTATTTTTTAAACAGGCAACATTTTCCCTATCGCAATATTCCATTGGCGTATATTATTTTATCGACGCATTGTTACAAAAATTTGAAGAGACATTGTCTGCTGCTAGTTGTCAAATGAAGAGCCTTTGAGGACTTTTCCAGATTTCCAGATTATATATTATATAGGAATATAGTATTTCTTTCTTTATATATAAAGTCGCTTTTCCTTTAAAACAATATTATCAGTATGCTTAACACAGGTTTCCATTAATTACGAACTCAATATTTCGCATTTATCGTTCAATTACCTACGTTAATAAAATTTAAAGATTTGTAAATAAAAACTCTGTACTTTTCGTATGTAGTATTACGATGTATACTCGTACTTAGGGTAAGTATGATGTACAGAACTTCACTGTTTTATGCACGAACAGAAACTTGATATTCATTTTTATATATATTAAGATAAAATAATCTTATACATATACGAGTGATGTGTATTTTCAAGAACAATAAAAGTTTATTTGTAGTAATAGTTATTAAATATTAATACAATACTTCAATAGTAAGTTACTTTTGACGATTTTTTTAAACATTGTTATAGAAATATTTTATTTGTTTGTCACAATTTCTAGCAAAAATAAATACATTTAATGCTATAGCTCACAGCCACTATGATAGTTTAGTAATAATATTATCCCAATACGCTTGGAATGTATATATAAATAGCTTAGTTAAAATGTAGTCTACTTAATAATACTTATAAATATATTTTAGTTAGTAACATAATACATATAAAAGTT